GAGATTCTGTAGCTTTGGATCTGGAGGACCAGGTCCTTCATGTGCTCTAGCAGTTCATAGATGGGGTAGATGTTAGGGTGGACCAATTATCAGCCCTGCATCTGGCCCTGGGTGGTAATTTGGTTGGTTATCCCACCAGCTTTCTCGTACCCAAACTATCAAGGCCAGCTCCTCCACTTTGCCCAGGTAGGGGTCAGGACCAGCTCTCCTGCCTATGGCAGATGGCAAGAGTCAGAATCAGCTCTCCTGTGCTCATGCCATCAGGAACAGCTCCCCTGCTGGGCCTGAGTGCTTAAGCCAGGGAGGTGGTGGGCAATCTGTCCTTTTAAAACACACAGGGAGTGGCGAAGATGGTGGTAAGTGCATGCTTATAAAACCAGCACTTGGAAGCAGAGGCCACAGGAGACTGCAACAGAATCAAGGCTGAATATGGAAGAAATTTCTAGAATCCCTACTCATGATTCAAGTTTCATGTCCCATCCAGCACCTTGGCCACATTCCTGGATCTATGTTTGTTCCAGGGGAGAAGCCTGCAAGGACAAGGGCTTCTCTGGTGACTGATAGTACTACCTTAAATGATCTTCACCTTGACAAAATATCAGGTCTTTAGGACCTCCAAAGGCAGGGAGTAATGATCATAGCACCCAGGTTTCCAGGGTGCTGTTCGTATGCATGAGGACTCCTGTGTTGTTAACTACACAGATTCTGGTCATCTCTAGGCCAGCACACTCTCAAGGCCAAAAAGACAGAGCAATGATGGATCTCAGGTTGTCGATGTGTCAAGTCAGGCCTTCCCAATTGGGGCTCCCAATGTAGACTATGACTCCAGGAGAGGCAGTGTGAGGCTTTGTTCGTTCTTAGTCAGGCCATGAGCTCCTTACAGGAAATGGTTTTCAGACCTGGAATAAAAGAATCTGACAGGACAGACCCTATGAACCATTGAAAGCTCCATCTCCTGGACTTCCCCAGCATGAGCAAGTGCTCTCTGGAAATGGGAGAACCCTCTGTCTTCTGGTAGCATCAGTCGATATAAACCAAGCGGTCCCCCACTCTGAGCTGGCTAACGTCAGGCAGATAGTATCAAAGACTGAAAGTGCAGAGATGTGAATTGGTTGGCAGGAGTTGGTTAACTCAGTGTAGGAAAAGAAAAATGGAGATCTTGGCTGGGAGAACATAAGGTTTATTGGACTCAACAGGGGGACACTGATCTGCACATGTGGGAACCCTGCAGGACCCAGATGTTTATGTATGGACAGGGATGGCATAATATCTGGGAACTCTGACTCTTCCCTGTGTTGTCCACAGGCCTCCAGGGCCAAGAGTAGCAACACAACAAAATGGCATTCCAGGAAGTACAGATCTGAAAGCCCTAGAGAGATGTGGGGAACCTCCAGAGCGATAAAGGGTCTATAAAGTTGAGACAAGGTGTTCCATAAGGTGAACACCCACACCTCATCATCATTAGAAATCTCCAGGAAGGAAAGATTACACGTGAGGATAAAAGGACACGGGTGGGGGTCGGTGGAAGGTCCATCACAGCAAGGTCTGCAGGAGGACTGAGCCCAGGCTGAACAGAAGCACCCCTGCCATGGTCCAGATGCTGCCTCCAGTGGGAACTGCTGCGTTGCAAAGGTCTTTCGTGCAACAGAAAGAAGTCACATTTGCAACAGTACCCAGGATCTCGACATTTTGAAGATTAGTAGGGCAGATGGGAGAACACATATTATTCTTCGCTTTGCTTTTGTAAGAGCCTGAAAGACATCAGGGAGTGACGCAGTTCTTATGCAGGAACAACAGAGCATTTGAAAGTCTGGGCCACATGCCACCAGGTCTGGATGGCCCAGACTTGTCTCTAAGGCATGTTGAAGGCAGACATGATAGCTCAGACTTATAATTCCAAAACTGGAGAATATTTATGAGTTCAATTCTAAACTCGGTTTTATGGGGAATTCTGGGCTATCCTGGGTCTAGAAGGAGACCCTGTCTCAAATATCAAATGAATCAAAAATCAAAACCCAGGTCAGGTAAGGAGGCTTGGTGGATAAAGTGCTTGTGTGCAGAAGCATGAGCCCCCAGTTCTGATCACCAGGACCCATCACAGGATGGGCCAGCATGGTGTTCTACTTTTATCTCTGTGCTTAGGATAAAAAGATGAAGATCTCTGAGGTAAGCTCAGAGGCTAGACCAGCTGAACATTGCAGTTCCGTGTGAGACTCTATCTCAGTAAATAAAATAGATGTCACAGAAGATACTCATCAAAGTTTGAATCCCATATACTTGTATCTCCCAGGCATGTACATCCACATATGTATACACATGTGCCCTTACAGGCCATATGCTGAGGAAGCAGCTCAGTAAGTGAAGGGCTTGCCACATGGAAGTCCAAGGATGGAAGATCAACCCCCAGCAAGCGTGTAAAGAGATACTCAAGCTTGGGAGTGCTGGTTATAATCTCTGTACTGGGGGGAGGAATCAGGAAGTCTCAGGAACTCTCTGTTACCTCCCTCCTCCCCACCCCCAGCATCCATGGCAAATCCTAAGTCCCAGTGAAGATCTTGCCGGAAAAACATGGTGGTTGGGACTGGAGACTTGGCTGAGCGGTTAAAGCACTTGTTGCTCTTATAGAAGCCCAGGGTTTAGTTCCCAGACCCCACATGGTGGTTTACAACCATCTGTCATTCCAGTTCCAGAGGAACCAAACCTCATTTGCATAAAATTAAACAATGCCTAAGGAATGGTACTTAAGGATGTTCTCAGAGCATTACTTACATTACACTACATATATTCATACATGTGCACACACACATTTACACACACACACACACACACACACACGCCACAAAGACACAGCACAGTGTAAGATCACCCACTGGCACAGCACGAAGGGCAACCAGCCTCTCAGACTCCTGAGTACCCCAGGCAGTTATATCTAGGAGACCTGCTCCAGGAGACAGGCAGGCTGTGGTCAGAACAGGAAACTGGATAGCAGGGAGGGGCTGCTCCTGCCTTGTCTATGTGGAGGATATGTCTGGAAACTGGCACTTTGGAGGATCTGAAATGTCCTAGGGTCTCTTCTATCAACATTCCTAAGTCAGTCCTTTAGCCTAAGCCCCAGATTCCTTCATTAAATGCAGAGTCACTCAATGTTTCCAGCTCTCCTGGTCCATCAGTGAGCCTGTGAGACCTCAGACACAACATACAGGCAGGAGCATCACATGACTACACTGGTGACACAGGGGGATGATGAACACCATGCATGCCAATGGGCAGCCCTGCCTCATGGTCCCCATCCCAGCGCATCCCTGGACCCCGACAACCCCCACTTTGCAGGAGTCCCATTCCAACCCAGGACAGCTCGACTTGGAGGGAGGGGAACCATAGTCCATAACAAGTGCCCAGACCTGACCTTTTCTCCCAAGCCAACCTGATCCATTTTTATATAGTCCACTTACCCACAGTAACTTCTGCCACCTGAGTCACACAGAATCCATCAGAGTAGGGGCAGGTCATTGATGAGCATGAAGTGTCAAGTGGGACCCCAAGGCAATTGTAGCACTTGAGCCCCTGAGCTGATAAAGAAGCCAATACATTAGGGCTAGGGCATACCCCCCCTAGCCCAGACCCCTCCTCTACAATGTCTCTACTTCCCTACAGCTGCTGGTCACTAGGATACAGCAAGGACATTACTGCCCAGTCAGCTCCACCAAAAGCAAAAGTGAAACAAGAGCCACAGTTGTTCAATATGCTCGGTCCTGCTGTCTCACCTAGACAGCCCACATGAGAAACCTGCACCCCAAGACAAATTAGAGAGACAGTCACCACATTGGGAAGACAGAGATACCAAATGTCTGCTGAAGCACTGAGTGGGTGTGTATGTACGTACTGGGGCCACCAAAAAGGAGGGTTCTTCTGACCTGTCCCACCCTAACCCTGCAGAGCTGGGCCTTGGTTCTCTGAGTATGAGAGCACTGAACTTCCCAGAGTCCAGCTTCAAGCTGAGGCTCACCATGAGTCCTCCCACAATACAGATGTAACTAGAAACATAGGCGTATCTGAGAGCACGAATCCTTCTAGAGTAGGGAAATTCTAGCATTGGGGCCTCATGTGGTATGGGCTGGTGCATAAGAAAAATTCAAATGCTAAGCATCAAGGATTTGAAACCTCTTGACTTAGCAAGTAAGCCAGGAAAGGAAGCCTCTGTCCTTTTTTGTGCACATAGGCCAGTGTCCTCTGTGAGAGGCCAGGGTAGCATGGTAGTCTAAGGACAGGGTGTTCTCCTGGCCAGGGTTGGTGGCAGATGTTTTGAAGTTCAACAGTCCTTCTGGCAGTTTTGCAGACCCAACAAGCAAGTACCCTAGCACTAGAAGTTTCACCCACCACAAGCCAATCCCAATCCCCTGACCCCAGCACACCTCGGGCACTGGGCACACAATGGAGGTGCAAGTGTATTCCCACACCTGAAGCACTTTTCCATCTGCATTGTACCCTCCTACCTCACCCTCAGTTTCCATCTCACCTCTAAGTGCACACAATAGGGCCACAAGCAGGATGAGCACACAAGACTTTGTAGTGTGAAAACTGTTCATCCTCGGAGAAGGGGTGCACAGATAAATCCTAGGAAGTTGAAGCCAGTTAATAGACCCAATCACATCCCAGGGCTCCTACAGGACTGAGTCATTCAGTCTTCCCTCCCTCCAACCCTCCACACAGCTCTCCCCAAGGGATAGAAGCATGTCTACTTCTCTTATGCACCACACACACAGCTTTTCTTCCTAATCCCAGACTCCCACCCACAGTCCTATCCTGAGGACTCTTCCTTTTGCAAAATAGCAGCTCCCTCCTGACCCCAGTCCTTACTTCCTCTCTGACCAGGTTGCAGGCTCTGTGGAAAGTCCTGTCAGATGGGGACTGAAGTGAGTACTTTCCCTCAGCTCCTCCCATCTGGCATCCTGAAAGGGAGGGTTTCAGTACTTAATTCTGATAGGACAACATGTTATTGCTTAAGAGTTATCAAGGTTTGTTGGTGACCTGGTTAAGCCAGATTCATAACAGTTGGGGAGGGAGGACCATGCAGTTGAGAAAGTAGGACCATGCAGTTGGGAGGACCATGGTGCTGGAGGATTAAGAGGGCAGAAGGGTGGGGACACAATTGCTTTTGCCTTGGCATTCAGAACACAAGGAAAGGGGAAAACCTGCTCAGGCTTTTCCTGTTTTTTTGTTTTTTTGTTTGTTTATTTTCTTTCCTGTCGTTTCGAGACAGAGTTTGCCTGTGTAGCTTTGGCTGTCCTAAGACTTGCTCGGTAGATGAGGTTGGCACACTCTCATAGCTATGACAGGTGTGATGCAGATACTGCAGGTTCTGCAACCACCACCTGTTTCTTCCTTGTTTCTAAGTAGAGAATATGGGCTGCAGTGGCTCAGAGCCCACTGCCCCTTTTTCTATAAGCCAGCAAACAACTGACACAGAGCTCGAGACTGGCTCTGGTGGGGTATCTGCCAACAGGGTCTTGTATCCACAAAGTGAGGGTCTTGAGCCAAGAACTAACTGACATCTGAGATGTAAGTTACTAAGCAGTGTCTGATGTATTTGGGTGATGTACGGGGCTGCAGGTGCTGTGAGCATCTGGTAGCTAGAGCCAGGGATGCTTTTCATAGCACAAGGCAGTCTTATGCAGAGGGTGAATGACCCCTGTGTCCCCCCAGCCCAGAAGCCTCCATGAAGAAGCCACATGCTCATTCTCCCTGCTCCACTTTGTATGTTGCATGCCACTACACACATTAGGTCCTAGTGTAATGTGTCCCACAAAGGACTGCCTGGCCTTTATGTCACTGTCACGTGGCAGAATATTTTAATAACTAAAACCTTACTAATTTGCCAAATATTGATGTCATCTGTTGCCCAGCCCTGGGATGAGCAGCAGGATTCCTATAGCAAGCCAGAACCTGAGTTTCCTAACCTCATGGAGCTTAGAGCCCAGTGGTTAGTCACACATACATGTCTGAAAGGCACTGATAAGGTTAGAGAAGGAAGGCTGGGCACAGAAAGATACCTGAGCTGGAAATCATCCTGAGATGACACCACAGCAACAGAACAGAGATGTTCAGAGGACAATGTTGTCCCAAGATGGACCACAGAATCAGCGAAGGTGAGTACATCCACTTAAGCAGTCAAGGCTGCAGAGGGAAGGAAGTCAGAGGCTCAGAGACCAGCAAGCAGATTCTCCTGATGGAATCCACAGGGCTGAAACACAGTCTTGGTCTTTCTATCATTTCTGGTTGGTTCCACATGTACATCCAACTCCAGTGTCAGTGTTCTGGGTTATACAGGATGATTGATCAAAGAAAGAGAGACACTGTTGTCTGAAGTCAGGATTCTCAAGGAACAGTGGGGCATCAGCCTTTCCAGGACTGAATACCAAACCCCACGACTGCTTCAAATCCTTGGAGCCATCACTGGGGAATTCATGCAAGACCCAGTCGTTCTGCTTACATTCTCTTACATACCAGGTCCTCTATCCTAGCACCATTACAAAATCCCTTCCTTGTTACCCTTTAATCTATGATGGAAATAAACAACGTTTGTCCCCAACACCTCATAACCCAGCACAGTGGTAGGAGGAAGAGAGCAAGCTAGACAAGTTTTCTCTGTAATTCCTTCACATGCTCTCCTAGGGATTGGCTCATGCATGAACAAGTATATGTGAAGCAAAGAGCATAGACAGCAAGACTCTGCAAACAAATGGTTGGCATCAATGACAGAGTCAAGTGACATCCCCGCCCCATTTCATGATTCAGTGAGTTTATGGGGCTGATTTACAGAGGTTGGGTGAGGTCATTTACTGGAACATGCAGAGTTTCTGAGCAGATAAGTCATCACATGCAGAGTTTCTGAGCAGATAAGTCATCACCAAGTCATCCCCCATCTTGGAAGCACTGTCATGGAGTCCCTCTTTCAGTTACTCCTTTATTTTCTCAATATTCTAGAACCATCTGAGACCTCTTGTGGCTGGAGGGGAGCAGGAAAGAGAAATGGCTAGAATCCCAGGAGACAATCCTCCCTTCTGAGAATAGAGAGTTCTGTCCATAATCACAACCTGTTGCTGTTTTGCTCTTCTGACTTCACTGCCAGGGCTCCTGGACCAGTGTTATCCCTACTCCAAGATGGCCATGGGACCATCACCTTCCCTTTGGAGGAATAGGTCATATAACCACATTGCAGCACTCTATTTCCTTAAAAGTCTTAAACTAGGGCTTCTCATGAGTCCTTTCCATGGTCTACCCAGCACCACTGTTGGGCAACTAACTTCCCTTAGTGGTAGACTCCTGCTCAAATTACTGACAGACCATGTAAATGAACTCCTAAGGGAAAGGGCAATCATGTACTTGTATAATCTCAGAGTTCCAGGTACCAGATGTGACCAGGCTTTCAGTGGAGAAGCCAGGCCCACTGCAGAAAGGGCTACAAGTAAGAGGAACATATCCAACCCTCTCTCCTGCCTTCCAAATCAGCCAGAGACTTGATTACTCCCCCAATGAATTGGTCAAACTTGACCAAGTCCATTCCTTTCTCAAGAATGAATGACTTCTGTTAAGTAGCCAAGGTCACATATGCCTCCCTCACCATCTTGAGTCAAAGATTACATGTTAACTAAGTGAACTTCATGGAAATGCCACTTGCCCCTCCCAATGGGCTGTGGTCTCATGATGCAAAGGACCTGGGGAGCAGGGTGTTGCAGGGCAGTGAGTGTGGTGGGTAGACATGATTGAGAAGACTGTGTTGGAGGACAGCTCCTGTATTGAACTAGAGGGACTTGATTATTTAGCTTGAGTCAGGTGAAGGGGAGGAAAGGGATGGTTTAGGAAGTGCCACAGTGGGGCAGGGGCTTCCAAGTGTATCAAGTAGGTTATGAGATTTGTCAGTCAAA